TCAGTAACCTCTTGTAACCTTTCTGTAGCGGGAGAGAAATATACGTACTGTTCAGCTGACATCACCAAAAAAACAGTGAAATTCTTATCACCCAAGAGAAATGATAACTTCGTATTTAAATAAAATTATTAAAGAATTAATTAACTTAAACATACTATGGACCAAAAAACTGCTAGCAATATATATGGATGTTTCTCTGCTATTTGGAAATTTTCTGTACAAAACTCTCTTTTTAAGCAAATTTTATTAAATATTGAAAATGTTTATTAATAAAATGAAGGGCAATAGTAAATTAAATATATATCTTTAAAAACCCACACATTTTCCTCTTGGTTTTTAAGTTATGGTCAATTTTATGCAAAGCTGTGACCGGGGACTTTTGGAGCCATCCAGCGAATGTTTGTTAAGATTAACTTCTTAATTAAAAAAGACTCTATTTTTATAACACATAATTAGATATAAAAAAAACAAAAAAACATTACTTCTACTAATTAATTATCACAACTGATATTTTAGGTTACAGTACTTAATTAATATTAATTAAACTATATAAAAAATCAGTGTTATCATTGTACTTCAAGAAAAAGCTTTAAATTAACTCATTTCTCCAAGACCGATGCAGATATAGGACAATAATAAAATATTTTTCTTCCTTTTGGACATGCATCTGGATCTATTAACTTTTGCAATATTTGTTCAAAACTAACATTAGGAATCTGTTGTGGAGCCAAGTGAGCAACCGCTATTTTGTTTACTGCTACTACTACGTCTGCTAGTGAACCCCACGTTTCAGCCGTTATTTAAAAAAGTCCCCTGGTAAAATTTTTTTACTATTTTCAAATAAAAATTTGTTTTTTGTTGTAACACAGTTGTTGCGTTATAAAAAAGGCTTACCAGGGGACTGTTTTCACTAACGGCTGAGACGCATGTTCACCAGCAGACGCAGTAGTAGCACTAAACAAAAAAGCAGTTGCCTGCTTAGGTCTGTTTCATGTTCTAAATGTAACGCTCCAACAGGGACTGTTTGAATAATTTGAGGACAGTATTGGCACATAGATATTTTGATTAAAATTATAATGGTGATTTATTTTAAAAATATAATGGTGATTTTTCTAGGTAGGTATTTGGATATTTTTTGTTCAATTATAACTACAAAAAAATACTTATAACAAGATGTGTAAGTCTGGAAAAGGGACGTACCAGGGGCTAGAACATTATTTACATAAAATTAGCTTGTTACAGATACTTTCCATTTAGCGGAGAATTGTCCAGATTTATTAAGAATAATTAATACAAACGTTTAAAATTAATAATAAGTAAGATAGCGAGATCCTTACCATAATCAAAACTCGTATTTTTATTACTCTTGCCATAGTTTGGAAAACTTTCACAAAAAAACAAAAAATTAAAACAAAATCTGCAAAAGAGCTTTTCTCAACATGTCCTCGATTCTCTTGCCTTCCTAACTCCTAGGACACAAACAAACGAAGCACCACTGGAAATTAATCAAGACACACAAGTGTCTACACCAATAACTAACAAAAACACACTTGCGAAGACAGAAGGTGACTAAACGAGGTATCAATGACAAAAAAACAACCACAAAAAAGGAACAAAAATATTTTAAAACCTTTAAATATTTAAAATTGGGGTTATAGCAAAAAAGGGTACAATAGGCAGTATTTTTTATTATTAAGTAGGTATGTATTTATTTATGTATTTATTAATTTATTATTAAGTATATATGTATATATATTAGCACTACGAGCCTAGTAGGCCCATGGCTTGAGATGTTATTGTTTTCCATTTCTTCCTATTAGTAGCCTTGTCCTTCCATCTTTCTATTCCCAGTGTTTCTAGGTCTTTCTCTACTTCTTGCTTCCATCTACTTCTCAGCCTTCCTCTCCTTTTTTTTGTACCCATTGTATACATCAGAATCATTTTTGGTACTCGAGAATTTGTCATTCTTTCTATGTGCCCTAGCCACCTGAGTCTCTGAGCCTTTACTACTCCCACTATACTAGGATTCTTGTACATATCTTCTAATTCTTTATTTGTTCTTCTTTTCCATGTATTGTCTACTATCTTGCCTCCAAATATCTTTCTCAAAACCTTCCTTTCCCATATTTCGAGCATACCTGTTTAGCCTTTGTTCAGTGTCCACACTTCACTGGCGTAGGTTACCACTGGTTGTATAACTGTTTTGTAAATCCTTATTTTGGCATTCCTAGATATCTGTTTACTTTTTAATAGCCTGTTTAATGAGTACACGCATCGGTTTCCTACCATTATTCTTGATTGTAGCTCCTCTCTAATATTTGGTTTGCATGTGAACATCGACCCCAGGTATGTAAATCTTTCCACTGCTTCAAATATATATGCTTTTTCACCCTCTATTTCTATTTTTAGATTTAGTCCTTTTTGTTCACTGTCATCTATCCATTCCATGTATTTTGTCTTACTTTCGTTGATGCCTAAGCCTATTTTCTTTGCCTCTCTATCTAGCCTCTTTACTACTTCTTGTAGCTCCCATTTGCTTCGTGCCAGTATTACTACATCGTCAGCAAAGGCTAGACATTGGTGCTTTCTTTGGTATAACAATCCCTCTCTGTTGACATTTGCATCTCGTATGACCTTCTCCAAACACAAGGTGAACAGTATCGATGATAGGGGATCTCCTTGCCTTACTCCTTCACTGACTTCAAATTTTTCCGACATTATATTATTTATTTTAACTCTGCTCTCAGTCTTGGACAACGTTATTTGTATCATTCTTATAAGTTTTCTACTGATACCCAATTCTTCTAGTGCTTTGCTCATTTGGTTCCGTTTTATTCTATCGTACGCTTGTTTGAAATCAATGAAGAGAACCCTTGTCGGCAGATTGTGTTGGTAACTTTCCGCTTGCAATTCTCTGAGCGTAAATATCTGATCTGTTGTACTTCTACCAAGTCTGAAGCCACATTGGTACTCGCCGACAATGTTTTCTATCAATGACAATGTTATACACGCTGCAAGAATTTTGTATGCAGTATTCAATAGTGATATCCCCCTATAATTTTGATAATCTGTAAATAATTGTTTTAATAATTCATATTTATGAAACATAATTATGATTATAATCAATAGATTTAGAAAAACAGCAAAAATTTTAAAAATGTTTTCGACAATTCTTTTTGATTCATTGCGATACACTCCTGGTATGCAAAAAATTGTTTTGGTTTAGGTGCTCCTAATAAAACACCTACCGACATTATGGCGACCTCACCAGAGGATGATATCTTTCAATCTGGCCGTGAACGTGATAAATAAAAAGAAATAAGGGATTTCTTTTAGTAACTGAAAATGTATTTTTGCTAAACATTTCTATTTTAATCGTAATCTTACAAAAATAACTACCCTATCTTTTATATGACCTAAGTACTTGGATGTAGGGTGAAATGATATTATATGATTTCGTTTCTAAGACATAAAGGTTATTTATTTTGTTGCTATATTTGGTATCGTGAGTATATTATTATATAATGTATAGTGAGTATATAATATAATAGTAAATGTTACTTAGTTTGGTGATTTGTGCATTGTTAAAAGATCAGCATTGTTAAATTTCTACATTATGATTATTTTTGTTCAGAATTTCTACCCCCTATATTTATAACCATTTTTAATAAAATAAAGACCTTTTTTCTTCTTGGTATTTATTCAGCTTTTTCTCTATATTGCTTGTCATTTGCAGGAATTATTACTTTTTTTAGTAAGGATAAAAGAAAAATGGGCGAAGATCAACGGGATTTAAATAGTGACGACAGCGTTCGGACCACAATTTTACGCCTGAAGTTGAGGGCCATGTACAATTAAGTTAATTACTATTTAACTGGAAATAAGCCACAATTAAAGATAAAAATACATTTATTGGCGTTTCAATTTCCACTTCGGAAATCGTTCTCAAAATACAAATAGTAAATTGATTTAAATAAATTTACTAGTTTATTGTATACAATTGTATACAATTACTAATAGTGTATTGCTACACTTAATTCAATTCTAATAATATTATTATTAAACCAATTTTATAAGAAGTCAAAAGTGTTAGATCTAAGAAAACTAAAATAAACTCTATATTCTTTGGTCAAAACGTGATGCAAACGCCAAATATAAACATATTTTTATCAGTCAATATTGTTTACCAAAGATAAAGGCTGCATTTTTGAGTATTTAAAATCAAAACAAAATAAACAAAACAATATCAAAAGTCATATCTTTCTTCAGAAGATAAATGTAGAAATATAGAAATTTTTCGACGGCAAACGTTACACAAAAAATAGAGACTGAAGGTTTTTTAAATATCTTTTTCGTTCCAGGCGTTCGTTGCCCGTTTCGATATCAAACTTCGATCCATTTCTTCAAGGGACGTCCTTTACTACTTCTTCCTTCCTTGCAGTTTGCAATTTTATTTCTTTAGTTATTCGATTTTTAATTATTTGACCGAACAATCAATCAAGATTTCTAGAGAGAAAAAGACAAGGCGATCGAAATGTGGCAGAAATTGTAAGGCCCCGATCTAATATATATAATGTATACTAGATATTAGTGACTGTCGATTTAAACAAACAACAAAGTTTATTAGTGCTGCAGTCAGTCTGACTTTGTTGTTTATATATATATATATATATATATATATATATATATATATATATATATATATATATATATATATATATATGATCTCCCAAATTATAGAATAGTCTTCATTTGAAATTTCGACTTCTAGACCGGAAAAACCATTTTCAAAAACAATTGATTAATTAAACAAATTATCCTGTTTTCTTGTATTGGAAGCATATATAAACCTTATTGGTGAGATTTGAAAAAGAAGAAATTAAGAATAAGAAAATAAAAAAACATCACATACTTATATTTACACAATATGATATATTTACTCCTATTAGATATAATATAGATGGTTAAAAAATATGACAAGTTGGAGGTTTCTCTAAACATTAAGACAATAACGAAAGAATCACCTATAAATTAACAAAAATGATTCAAATAAATAATGAAATTTAAGAATATACTACTGGCAACAAATTAGCAACTAAATACTATCGAGCAGAAAGCAGAAACAAATTGTAGTGAGAAAGTTAAAAATATATAGTTGCAAAATATAAAATAGCTGCAAAGAGATCCTTCCAGGCAAGGGTACCTATGTATGAAACTCTGATTCGGCGGAAAGTTACATAACCCTAAAAAAACGTGAATATTGTATAAAAGAGAAAAGTATTTAGTGAAAATATGGCAAAGGAAAGTATGAAGGAATATATTTGGGGTAACATACAATATACAATGAAAATTCAAACTGGACTATAAGCATAAGGACAAATAAAAACCTAGAAGGCTACCAATAATTTATAAATGTCTCAATAGGACAAAAATAATGAAGTGAACGACCGATGATGAATTCGCAAACTGCGACGGAAACTGAGAAAAGAACGTAATAAACAAGAACAAATAGACGCAGACGATTCGATACGTAATATGGCAAGAATATTAAAACAATAATAATACATACTACGATAAACTTGAAAATAAATGTGGGATCTAGAATAGAAATGAAATAGCATTGTCACAGTGGACACCTTTGACTATAAATAAAATTCAAATTAAGTACAACATACAAGAGTTTGTTATGGAACCCCAAAAGCAGTATAAAAACATCAAACCACAGGCTTCATAATCTGTGGTGCAAATTTACATAGGTACACATAATATGGAAAGTGCAGCTCTTTCTTTCGATTTTAAGTCAATGATACAAAATATCGCAATTATGTAACTACTTAAAATATATTTTTTCTGTTTACTTTATACCCTCTTGACAATACGAGAGTTTTGAATAGTATAAAATTTTTCATTTCTCATACAATCTCATCCATTCGGTCTTCATCTGTTTTATTTTTCTCCTATACCTACTAGTAATTTTGTTAATTTATTTTATGATGGAAAAACAAAATTAAATACCCTATATTTTATATATAAATACTTTTATAGACATGAATCTAGTGACACTATATTTCGTGTACGAGTAATGATATAAACAAATAATAACGGGCTTTTTACAACAGCAAAGAACAATAAAACAAAAGTATTTACATTATATTGAAATTAAAATAAAGGGTTGAATTAGAAATGAGTAAAATAATAAAATTCATTGAAAAATGTTACCAGTTATTTATACATAAATTATTGTTTTCATAGTGTTAAACTGCAGACGTTTATAAAAACTGATCAATTAATGACTGTACACATTTTAATTGTACATTTTTAACATAACCAACAATTCCGAAATAGGTTAGAATTAAGGAAAAGTAGTAATCCACTAAGACCTATGTAAAAATACTAAGTCACGTGTTTGTCATCGCTTTGGCGAGACAACAAGACCACTTTACACGCCGCATGTGTATGTTTACATTTGCAAGAAACAATAAACAACTGTAATGTCGTGTGTTTGTTTCCAACAAAATTAGGCTCTATTGTTTCAACTGAGGTATGAAACAATGTTTAGAGGCTATGAAAGAAATGTATAGAAATTTAACCGATATGAATGTAGAACTTACCTTCCATCCTGCAGAGCTGTTACTATCCCCCTTGTCTTTGAAATAGGGCACGTTCTGCACCATCCACTCGTAGATTTGACTGAGAGTTAGTCGTTGATCTGGAGAGGTCTTGATGGCTTGCGTAATTAAATCAGCATAACTAAGATTTCCCCAAGCGTTTCTCCTGCTGGAATTCTTTTTCGTAGGCACCGCAGACGTCACCGAAGACGGAACGGGCCCTTGTCCTTGCTGTCCTGCTACCACACACTTGTTGCCTGTCGCCTCATCGGCGGGATCCACATAGTTATCGGGCCGGGGCAAGGGCCACGTGTTTGAACGCGCGCGAGTTTGAGGCTCAAAACCGTCAAGCTCCGGCAAGGGTTCCATCATGCTCATGTCCATTTTCTGGACCCAATTTCCGTACTGCCCGTTCATAGAAACTGACAGCTTAAATCGCACTTGTTGAAAATATAATCGTAACAACAGGCACACAAGTTATTCACTAACTCTATGAATAAAAAGCCACTAGTCATAAAACATTATCTTTCACTCACTAGTTTCGCGCTTAAACTGATTCGAATTAAGAACTACTGGTTTAGTGCGATGTTACCTGCGACGCAGTTACGCGATATTTGGCCGAGAGAATTGCTCGAGCTAGTACTTCACCCCATCAAGCGATTCGACTGCGTCTGAACAGTAGATTTTTAGTTGCGATCGCGTTGGAGGACATGCCCACTTGCGCTTGCGTATTAGCTGGCGCCACGCACGCACACTTGATTGTATAATTGTGGCACACGCACAGTGAGCGATACACGTGATCCCACCTGAATATCTAATTAGCAAAAAGGGCCCTCTCATATGGACCAGCCGGTCTTTTTTTTAGCAGCTATCGCGGATCTATTCGCTCACTTTATTCTAAATCCACGATATTTTATTTAATCCTCATTTTGGACTTTGAACCGTTTCGGTTACAATGTAAACGGGACAGTTGAGTTATCGCTTCAACATGTGACTGGTAATTCATGATCTGTATACAGGGTTCGCCGAAAATTTTGAACTTTTTATTCGAATTTATTAATCGAAATTTATTTAAATAGGTTTGAATAAGGAAATGGAATGTGAGTAAATTATTATGGTGTGAATATTACCAGGTAATATTTATTTTAGGAAGAACCCGATTTTGTTTTTCATATAATTAATAATATTGTACGAAAAGTAACCGTAGGTTAAAGCTTTTCAAAAATTTTATTTCAGAATTTTTAGAAAACGATTTTTGGATTAGAAATGAAACATCAACACTAAGTAAAAAGTATAATTTTAATTACAATAACTTGTGGTTCAATCACATCTTATGTCACTATATTATAATTAATACCGAGGATTGCCAAGTTATAGGCTACGATAAAAAGTAGTCATATTATTATACGAACATGCAAATGTTTGAAGACGTTATACTCTAAATCTGTGTCATATGAATTTGTAACATGGTCCTTTTTTATTCTAAATTATAATTATGCTGTAGTTTTCTGGTGAGCGTGCTAACAAAAAATTAGTGAAATATATTAAGCCATTAAGACAAAGTTTTATTTCCAAATAACAGATCGCATACCTCAGTTTTTTTATAATCTGTGGTTCCGTGTATGAATTGGTATCAATAGACTATTATAACATTATTTCTGTATGTCCTACATAGGTCTGTTTTTCAATATACCTCCAGTAAGTTATCGTTCCATCATTTTCTTAGTCTTCCTACTGTTCGTCTTCCTATTGGGGAACCGTAATTAGGCTTAAATGATCATTCCAATCTACTCTTCTGTTTTTTACCCAGTCCTTGATGTTATCCACCTTTTATCTACGTCGTATACCTGTACTTCTAGCTCTGTCCATAGTGTCTTGTCATCAAATTTTCCAAGAGTTTTCATCTGTGCTGTTCCAAACATAATTTTTGTCCTGTCTGTGTCAGGTTTTCCATATTGTTTTATTCAAGTAACCAGCTTTTTCTCTATTTACTTGATCTTCCACTTCTACTTTGAGCTCTCCGTAGCAAGATAGTGTGATGCCTATAGTCGAACAATTTTCAATTAAAGGTGACTAATCTACAAATTGAACTAAACGGTAGCGGCAACCATGTAATATTTCATTAGTAAATTCTTACCGGGGTCATTTTTATTGTGTATGTTTCGCCCATGTAAGTATGTAAATTTGTAACCCATGTAAGATAAATTTGCCCCCGTAACAATATAAATTAATGCGATTCACGAGTGTATAACGAGACAAGTTCAACGAATAGTTTGAAACATCGGTAAACTTATCAATATTTTGCTGGTCTATATATATATATATATATATATATATATATATATATATATATATATATATATATATATATATATTTACGTTCTTAGAAAGAATGTTAATGAGAGAAATATGATATCTTAGTTTATTCTTTCCAGATTATATACATTTGTGCATAAGCGTAGTGTGTTATTGGGAATATATTTATTAAATAGACTTTATTATTAACTTTAAAATAGTTTTAAGGTAAGTAAAGTAAATTTGAGGCCAGTTTATTCTTTATATAGTATTAAACCCTTAACGGACGCTCAATATACAAAGAGAAATTTGACAATTAATTTATTAGATTCGATTAAAAACACATAAATGAGGACTGATTCACAACCAAAAAAATTTTTTTTTTTTCATTTTCAAGGAAAACAGTACAATTTTTAATAAAGGAACATATTGTATCTTAAACGTAAATTAAATTTTAAGGTGAAAATTTTCGAAACATTCGGGGTGTAGATGCATTCTAAACTTTTTACATAAATAAATAGTATTACTTTTGTACATCCTAGATTTTTGCACTATCGCCTCTTTTTGTAATGTGGCTAATATTGTCGAATCTGGTTTCATCTGGTAAAGCAAATTTAGATTGATGTCCATGTACTAAGTGACACTGATGTAGCGGTTTCTTCACTATTATAAATTAAAATTATAAATCTATGTCGACTCATGCTTTCTCTTATAATATGCAGTTCTTTATCCTCATCCTTTGATCAATGCATATCAACTTAAAGCGAAGTGTAAACCAGATAATATACATATGCTAATAATTTTATTTAAATCTATGTTATTCATTTCAAAATTGTGACGGTTATTCTAAATCACTTTTTTATCAAAAAAGGTAAAAAAACTTTAATATATGACTTTCCTACATGGTTGGCTTTTATAATGTCTAAATATCAATCAGACTAATGTTGAATTACTACTGAGCACGAATGAATATCCGTTATTACAACTTGAGATAAATTTGGAATTACTATTTTTCTCTGGTTTTTTCTTTGGTCGTTTGATCTGTGGTTCAGAGGAATATCATAATCAGAATCGTCAGAATTCCCAATCACTTGTATTTCATATGTACCTGCAATATCCGATTTTATTGATTCTTCACAAATAATATTATCATCAATGTCTTCAAGGAATACAATAATATACCAGCAAACGAATGGGAAAGATACCCGACGGAACTGTTTAAAGCAAAGGAAAATAATAATCAACACAATGACGTACCCGAATTAAGACACGAAATAGAAATCAGTTTTCAGGAAGTAGAAATTGTCATAAATTCACTCAAAAATAGAAAGTCACCAGGACCAGATGGAATAACTAACGAGCTTCTAAAATACGGAGGAGAAAGTATGACCCTACAGATGACAAAGCTTATACAAAAACTAATATTGCACTGCAAGATACCAGACGCATGGAGAAACAGCATAATAATACCAATGTTAAAGAAAGGAGTTGAAGAAGACCCCAACAATTATAGAGGTATAAATCTACTGAACACCGCACTTAAGCTTACCACAAAAGTCCTAACCAACAAAATCAATAAACTAACAACTTTATCAGATGAACAACAAGGATTTGATATTGACATCTAATAGATGCCGTATTTGTACTAAGACAAATCACAGAAAAGGCCATCGAGTACAATAAACCAGCATATCTATGTTTTATAGACCTGACAAAGGCCTTCGATCGCATCCAAGTCGAAGACGTCTTACACCTACTGTATAAAAGAAACATACCAATCAATATTATACAAACCATAGAAAGCATCTACCTCCATAATCGAATACAGGCAAAGATAAATGGAAAACTAACAAACTGTATACCAGTACAAAGCGGAGTCAGACAGGGTGACTCGTTAAGCCCACTTCTCTTTAATATAATAATGGACGAAATAATATAAGCAGTACGTAAAGGTCATGGCTGATGAATGGGGAACAAAGAAATCCAAATATTATGTTATGCAGACGACGCCGCATTAATCGCCGAGACAGAAGACGAGCTCTAAAGATTAACACCTATCTTCAATACAACAGCTAAGAAATACAATATGATAATATCAGCAGAAAAGTAGAAATGTATGACAAACATTTAAATACCCACTAAATACCCACTACGGTGTAAAGTCGAAATTGATGGGAAATAAAGCCGGAAGCAAGGTTTAGATATCTGGGAATAGATATAACTAGTTACGGAGATGTTGAAGAAGTACGACAGCAAAGCTTAAAAGCAAGTAAAGCGGCGGGTTTTCTTAAAGACACAATCTGTAAGAACAAACACCTAAGACAAGACACAAAAAAAAGAGTCTATAAAGCAGCAATTAGACCTATATTAACATACACGGCGAGATAGGGGGACAAACAAGAAGATCATGCAATATAGAAGACATAAATGGATGGGTGACAAAACGAAAACAGGAGTGGAACACATCAGTAGAATGGCAGAGGATAGAATAGTACGAATAGCACGAGATAAGTCACCAAATGGACGAAGAAGTATTGGCAGACCAAGAAAAAGATGGTAGGATAATTCAAACAATTTAGAAGGCTAATATTGAAGAAGAAACAGGCTTTAAAGCCTACATACTAGAAGGAAGAAGAAGAAGATCAATGTGTTCTACATCAGACACTTTCTAATCTAATATCGGCGGCAAATAAACCACATGAGTCAGCATTTTCACAATCTGAGTCTTCTTCTAACAAAGCTATTAACTCTTTAGTAGTTAGTGCCATCTTCATTTCATATTTCGAGAATTTACTGAAATAAAAAAATGCACTACTATATAAACATTCACTAGCATTCACCTAATAATAGTTTAGCTTACTTCACATTAATTTATATGAACTTCTTTAATACATTTTCATATTTATATAAACAAATAAACACAAGGAAACTTTCAAATTAAGTTAAAAAAAAAAACAAATATAACGTTTACAGCACACAGCAATTCTATAAATAGAGAATGATGTGTTATTAAAATTGCAGATTGTTTTTAGTCTAATGAAAAAAAAATAAGTATTTTCCAAAGTTATCTTTTTTTTGAAGTTCTGTAT